GTATTGTTTGCAGCTGATAACCCAGCATTCAACTGTCGGTGCAGACGTTCTACCATACCATTAGCCTGGCGATGGTAGGCTGTTGTTCTAAAACGCATGCAACCTATGATTTTAGTCATGGGGAAGAATAAACCGCTTTCGAATTGCAACCCGCGATCAGTTGTTATGGTGGATGGACATCCAAAGTTTGCGATCTGTCTTTCTACAAAGACGCGTGTGACCGTGTCAGCAGATACATCTTTGAGGGGTACTGCTTCAGGCGATCGTGTGAAACAGTCGATGCAGGTTAACATATAGGTGTATCCATGAGATTCTGGAAGCAGTCCAACCAAATCTATGTGAACCTGTTCGAAACTAACACCAGGAGTAAGAAAAATGCCAAGGGGGCTTTTGCTGTGTCTTACTACCTTGCACTTTTGGCAAGCTGAGCACGTGAGTGCCAGCAAAACCGACTAGTCACGAGCTTGACCGTAGTTGGAATACCTGGGTGGGATAAGCCATGCAACGGATTGAAGACGTTACGGAGATAACTTCTAGGCACGATGGGGCGAGGAATACTAGTGGAAATGTCACAGAGAATAGTGTCTCTACCTATACCTATGGGTTTCTCAGCTAATTGCAGAGTTGTTTCCGACAACTCATGCTGAAGCTCAGTATCTTCTTTTTGAAGACGAGCCAGTTTTACAAGGTTTATGCCGTCTATTTGGGTGAGGGAACAAACGCGCGACAAGGCATCTGCCACAGTGTTGCTCACTCCGGATACATGACGAATATTCAATGTAAACTGTGAAACGTACTCCAGTTGTCGTGGTTCTCTAGGTGAATACTCACCTATCTAAGGTTGAGTTCAGACAGTACGTCAGAATTTTGTGGTCAGTGAAAATGATGAATTCACGACCCTCCACTGAATGTCGAAAGGGGCGTATAGCACAGTACATAGCTAGAAGTTCTCTTCCGAATGTGCTGTACTTCGTTTCAGCTAATTGAAGGCGCCTCGAGAAAAAGGCGAGTGGTTGCCACTCTCTGTTGACCAGTTGTTGCAGAACTGCGCCGATTGCAGTGTCTGATTCATCAACCGAGATATCTAACGGTTCCGTTGGATCCTGATACATCAGAAGTGTGGCATCTGCAATAGCTTTTATAAACTGAGTAAAAGCATTTCGAGCAGACGCGTCAAGTTCGATGGATTTGTTGTTACCTGGAAGAAGGTCTGTCAATGGCTGAAGCACAGTTCGGAATAAACCGTCAGTAATAATTTACCAGGCTTTTGAAAGTGCGCAGACTTTTCACTGTTTGTGGCACTGGAAAGTTCAGTATCGCATCGACTTTAGTAACCGGTGGGCGAATGCCCTGGAGGTCAATAGCGTGGCCCAGAAAGTCGAGTGGGTCAACGCCTATTTGACACTTTTGAATATTGATGGTAACACCATGTTGGCGTAACCTTTCAGATGCCAAGTCTAAGTGTTTAAGGTGAGTTTCCTTGTCTGGACTGGCAATGAGGCAGTCGTCTAAGTATGCGTATACAAAGTCGAGACCGCGAAATACTTCGTCGTTGAAGCGTAGGAATGTTTGTGTTGCATTCCGGAGGCCGAATGGCATACGTAGAAATTCAACAAGTTCGAAAGGCGTAATGGTAGACATTTTCGGAATATCTTCTGATGCCATCAGGATTTGGTTATACGCTTTAGCCAAGTCGATTTTAGAGAATATGGTTGCGCCAGATAATTTTGCCGCCAAGTCGTGTATGTGAGTCAAAGAGTAACAACCAAGGGTTGTTTTGGCGTTCACTCGCCGGTAATCACCAGTGAGTCGCTAATCGTTGCTATCTTTCTTCGATACAATGTGTAGTGGTGACGCCCACGGGCCATTCGATGGCCGGATGATGACAAGGGTGAGCGCATTGTCGGATTCATTTCTAGCGAGTCAAAGTTTGTCAGGAGCAAGTCGTCGTGCTTTAGATATCACGGACTGTCCTGAGGTTATGATGTGGTGCATAACATTGCTGGATATGCACGGTAGATCGTTAGACGGGCAGTTAAGTCCCGGATATTTATCAACAGTCGGTTGAAAATTTGGATCAAGGATTGCTTTCATCTTAACGAGTGACAAGCTTGGGCCTATGTAGGTGGTGTCTTTGATAGACAGACTAGTAGTGTTGTCAATCAGTCGTTCTCGGTGGACGTCTACGAGTAAATCATGATGATTGAGTGCGTCCGCGCCAATGATGGGCATTGTGACGTCAGCGAGAAGGAAAATCCACTGAATAGGTTTGCGTAAACCTACGTTCAGATAGACGTATTCCCTACTAAAAGTTGCAATTGGTTTTCCATCTGAAGCCTGTAAATTGAAGGTAAGTTCCTTCTGTCGATCTGCTGCTGTAGCAGGGAGGACGCCGACTTTGGTGCCTGTGTCGACTAAATAACGGGTCTAGCTGATCACATCATGGATGTAAAGTAGGCGGCTAGTGCCACCGGCGACGGTTGCCGCTAACGCGTGACGGCGGGATAGTTTCCCACGGTCTTTGAGACGTTGCGGAAATTACAAGGTTTACGACAACATTTCGCTTCCTGGCCATAGGTGTTGTGATACCAGCACCAGTCAGTGTTTCTCAGTGAACGTGGTTTGGACTTAGATCGACCACGTGCGTTTTGCCGTTGAGGGGATTTAGGACGACGGTAGGAGGAATTACTAGGCATATTTGACCTAAGCCTCTGCTGGATGGGATTGCATAACTCTATTACTGCAGTATCCTTACTCGAAGTCTGTTTGGCCAGCGAGCATATTTCAGGAACTGACCGTTTAGTGATTTCTAGAATTTTATCCGCAGAAACAGCTATGTCGTCTATGATAACACCCTGAATTGTCACCAGCACAGTCTGCACTGACTGTGGCAGTTTGGATAAGAAGAGTTCTCTGAAAAGTCCTTCATCGAACTGACTTTGGCCAATAACCTCTCTCATTCTTGTTAGCATGCTCACGGCTGACTGATCCCCTAACCCGATGTTACGAAATAATTCGTCCAGACGCTATCAATCCGTGAGGACATTTCTCCTGAGGAGGGATGCTTTGAGCAGCTAGTACGAGTTACTTACCTATGGACTCGACATCTGCACAGTTACGCACTTGCTGAATTCCCGCGGTAAGGCGTGAATGACTGCGAAGAACTGTGAACGTCGATCGGTTATCCCATGCTCACAAAAATCAAACTCAGCTGTCTGAAACCACGTTTCAGCATTATCTGGCCAATATGGTACGAGCTGAATGGTATTGGCAGTTGAGCGAATACGAATAACTTTGGAGTTAGGATCACTCATGACGAAATGTATGCCGATTACAATATAGTACAAGAACAAACACAAAAAGGAACGAACTCACCGGGTTTATCTGCGTAATTATCGAAGGCGAAGTTAGCAGTTGGGCTAACCAGTCTGGAGGTTGACGGCATCGACGTCCGCGAATTGTACGGAGTATACTGACGCGAGATCTTATACCAACAACTTCTGTAGTATCCGTTCGTCGTGTACCAAATACAGAGCAAAAGACCAGATTAGTCATCCAAAATACGGGATATATTTCGGGACCGAATAGTAAACCGTTTCGAGTGCTTATCTAGCTAGCGATCGTGCACGAACGTGACACGATGGGGTACCAAATGGCAAGGATGCTTGACCGGAAGCCTTCAGCTAAACAAGTCGACTTAAACAGTGAGGGTCAGCATCCAATGTTCAGTGATGATTGCTGTGGTCAATAATTTTGGGTGAATATTTGCCTCTGCAGTATAGTCACCGTTGTGATCTTCCTAAGAGGAGACTTCAACGCTATGGTAAAGAATAAGTAAAGAGCATAGAGAGGACAATATTACTATCGAATAAACCGTACAGTGGCACACTGTGTAGAGTAGGTCTATTCACACCTACATACTGCTCACTGAAAGTTTGCAAACACCTAGAGGTGCTTAAAAGTGTGATCCTTTCTTCAGGCTGGTGGTATGCAGCTTGTGACAATGCACTTGGCAACCCTGTATCTTCTGGTATCTGTGGCAGTGGCTTGATAATCCTGCAGTAGCACACGGGATATGTCGAACTCTCTGTTACACCAACGAAACCAAATGCAATCACCACACTTTGCATTGCAACAATGGACTTCGAAGAAACTAGGCCCAAGCCCAAACGACCTTACCAATTATCACGCTGCTACTATCTACCCATTTGACAGTAGTTGAAACAAGTCTTCGGTTTGTCCGAATATTAAATTATTCGAATGTTACAGTTCACTTATTAGGATAGACGATGAATGCGTTTTTGTCTGAGACAAATCATAATTGCCTAACAAAGCACACCAATATTACTGGGGATGAAGGCAAGTCACCCACAATGCTTGAATGATTTTCAGCTTGTTTGCCTGTTGGAATCGGTGAAGAGTGGCTTTCATGGTTATTATATGCCAACCTGCCTTTATAGCCATACATTTCGTTATATAACTCCATGACTACTCAGTCTAGGTTGCACTGAATTGTACTTATTTGTGGAAGATGAATGACGAGGAACTAAAGAAATTCATCGCATCAGCAGTGAGATTTTACTAGTACGAACATTACTTGACTGAAGCAACTTCATTGGTTTGACAGGAACCTTGATGTTTTACAAGAAAATTTAGCAGTTGCCGAGAATTTCAATAGGCTGGTTAGCTTATGAGTTATTGGTCTCAGAAAAGTCTCTCAATCTATCCGGTAGTAAAGGCTTTACGTTCAACTGCATGGAAATGCAAGTATTTGCAGATTAACATATATGTATGGGCGTATACCCTTGTAAAAACAAGAAATTAAAGCATCATAAGCGATTTATGGACAAGGGAAAATGTGCTTGTGAACAAAGAAGGGAGATTTCAAAATGTTGGGTGTTATTTTTTGTTTGTCTGTGCTACCAGATGAAACTGTTGTAGGTGAAATTGGATGGACCAATAGAGTATCCGGACGTGTGACGCGGCGGTTTGTCTTCCTGATGTTGCCTGTGTTAGCATTCCTCATTTGTCGTGTCATTTTTCTCTCAGTTGCTGCTTATTCAAGGGACGACTGTGATAGCTGTAGACATGCAGCAAAAAGTTTCGTCTCAGGCATATACAAATCAGAAGGCAAAAATTTTGGAGGCGGAAATTCGTTATGGGAAGAAGAACACCTAGGCAGATATTCCGTGAGTGAAGCGCGTTACCATGATATCCTAGAAATTATGTGTGATGCTAAGCAAAATATAGAGTGTCATAAGTTTTTGGAGAACATAGAACCTCACTTGGAGGAGTGGTGGCTCAAGGATTTTAGAAGTAATACGAACAATCCGGAAAGACTTGAAGAAGAACTGTGTGTTATTCAAACAAAGTATTGTTGTCCTTTTGGGTCCTTTGGACCTTCGTGTCTTCCTTGTACGACATGCCATGGACATGGCACATGTGATGGTAATGGCACGCGACATGGTTCTGGTAAATGTCTCTGCGAACCCGGTTACTCTGGAGATTCCTGTGATCGATGCAACTTGGAAACCCACTTCCAACTTCATGATGATGGCCCTTCTGTATCATGCTTACCTTGCCACTCGTCATGTTCTGGAGGTTGTTCGGGTCCGTTTTCTCAAAATTGTTCATCTTGTGCGTCGGGGTGGTCTGTGCACGAATCTAATGATCAACGGGACTGTGTGGATGTTAATGAATGTCTCAGCAATCCTTGCAACAATGTCACCCACTTTTGCGTAAACAGGCCTGGCTCGTACGAATGTATTGCTTGCAATTCCGCCTGTCGGGGGTGTACTGGTGCAACTGCAAATGACTGTGTATCCTGTGCAAATGGTTACCAGAGAGGGAATAGTGAAGCATGTGAAGATATCAACGAATGCAATGCTGATAGTAACATTTGTAATAAAGAGGGGGAAGTCTGCAAGAACTTGATTGGTGGTTATAAATGTGACTGCAGAAACGGATACAAACGAATTAATAATGATTGTGTACTGATTACAAAGCAGGAAACGACTTCGGAAACTCTGGGTAAGTCTGGAAAACAATCCAAAACAGATAGACATAAATTACGAAATCAGAATTTCCCGAAGATAATATGGACCGTATCTTACGCAAAAGAATTTCTCAAGTACTGCGCTTCTCTTCTTGCATTTAGCATATTTTGTTGGTTTGCTAGAAGCAATCTTTTTGTAATTGCTTTAGCGTCATTACTAATCAGTTCCTATGTATATTACCAAAGCCTTAAGTTCGACTCTGTGTACGCTAGTCAGGAATAGACTCAATTTCTTGTATTTTGTAATTTTTTTCTCTAGAAAATGTGAAAGATGTACAACTTAATGATGGTTACGACACTTTGAAAGAGGAGCCGAATCCTAGTCATATTCTGGGAGAATTGTGAATTCGAATTGCTGTTGCTCCCAGTGTATATAAGTGACTGACGATTATGCTACTTTTGGAGGCTAGATAAGTTTTTTGCCTCATACTTATCCGGTCTCATTGACAATTTATCATGGTTCCAGATATATCATGTTTCACAGTTGAGAATTGTTTGAGTTTGATTTTACTTTTGTGTGAGTTGTATACCACTGGGAAATTTTCTTCCACGAAGTTTTGTAACTTTTTGTGTTTATACAATAATGTAAATTAGGACTTCCTTTTTCTTCTAATGGAAACATTTTCGAAATAGCTAAATGTTGTAGGATTTTTACGTGATCTTTTAGATAAAGTAATAAGTCTATACATTCTTCAGTGGTGTTTAACAGTGTGTGAATTACTTTGTTGTTCTAAACTTCTTTACCTTGCAGGCAAAATTCACTGATTTTACTTGGAATTGAGCACTGTAGTGGGAAATGAATATTGTAAGTAATAGGTGAAGGCTCTACACCTACGCTTGTTATTTGTAATGCAATGACTACCAAAACAGTTCTCAACACGTACACATTTGTGACATGGGCTTTAAATCCTTCTGACTGCTTTTGTGTACGAATGCGAACCTAGTTGCATATGATTTCAGCCAAAGTAACGTGAAATAGTGTGATACAAGAAAAATACGAATAATCACTATTTCGTGTAATTCTTCGTTAGAAACATGGAGAAATGGTCTGTAAAATTGTTGATAAACTGGACGCAGTTTCTCTCATATTTCCATGGAAAGTCATAAGATTTGATTATCCGTCAAGCTGCATTTAGTTTGGGTCTTCGTTTTCACTCTCATAACCCATGACACATATAAAGCGTTACAGTTATTCTTAATTGAGTCTGTTGGCTGTGCCATTTTACTTACCGCAGTAAACTATTTAGTTCGGTAAATCTACACGTCTTTAGTGAGATTTGTAATTATGCTGTGTCATATACATTGACAAACCTCAGCTACATTGCAAAGTTTGTACCTTCTGAAGTTGTACTATTCCAGTGGCATAATAACCGGTTGTTGGTTGTTGCAAGGTTTCTATTCAGATATAACTAACATCGGAAGCGTACAAACATAATGTTCAGACAACATTTTTGGCCTACGAATCGTGCTTCAAATAACTTTGTAATGTGTGGTATTCATTTAAGTGACAGTAACTTTCAGGTAACCACGAACTTCAGCCCCTACATGGATAAGTATACCCAAGCGGTTGTTGATTAAATTATTCACTGGTTAGAAAATAAAACCCGGGGATCCTTGTGCGTCATGGAACCTCTGTAGATTAAGTCATTTTTCTGTAGCTCTGGTAACCTGGCTAGCAAATTGTATTTGGGATATATTGCGTCGTTTAGAGAGCATCTTAGTCGCTTAGGTACATTAGGTTTAACCCGTAGGTTTGATGCTGCACCACGTGATTTATGCGGAAATGAAATAGTAGTATGTCTCATCTGCCTTTCGAATATTACTTTCCATTAGATCCTTTGAAAATTGGGAAGAATCTATTCATTCTTACTAAGTTTTAGAGAAGAGAGTTCTTGGGCTTTCTGTTAGTATCATGAAGGTCCTGGTACCCATCTGATTAATTTTCACAGAAGTGAAAAAGTGGTTTTGACGTTTTTGTTCGAATTCACTGCTGACAACGATGCGAAAATGGGTAGTATAGGTCTGTGGATGCAGTTTACAGCCCAACGAATCAGCTATGGTTTAGAGAAATTTAGCTTCTGTCTTAGCCACAGCAACCTTATTGATATTCACTAAATTTTACCTATATAAGATTCATATATATACTCTATAAATTTCGATGGCTTCTTTAACACTATATAAATACAAGATCGAAGTGATGTCTAGTCAATAGAAATCTGGAGTCCTATGAGTTTTAGCAAATTTTGTTTATCAAAAGGTTTCAAAGATGGTGAACTTGGATTTTCAGTTTTATTTTCGTAGATAGCAGTTTATAAATTTACGTGAATATAACTGGGGGAGTAGCAGTGGTTGAATGTGTTCACCAAGGACGTCCGATGTTGCATTTTTACGTAGTTTCATTAGGGCCGTACTGATGGTCAACTTTGTTTCGTGGATTGACTAGTTCTTAACTAGAAGTACGCAGGTGGTGCAATCCTATGTAAAGACTGTCATTTAATATATATATATATATATATATATATATGCTTCTGTTGGACGTCGCAGTTGTCCTCATTTCTAGTTTAAGAATAATAGGTAGTGAGGTGGTTTAGTGTTTTGACCAACTTATTTAAGATGTGTCAATCTAAATGGACTGGTTGTTAACGTAATCTCAGAGATAGATACAAAAGACTTGTTTGGTATTCATGGTTCGAAAAGTGGTATTTATGAAACCACCTAAGTTTTATGAACTAGATGTAGTTGATGAAGATCAAGTGAGGACATATGGGAAATGTATATTTACCTCAAACTTCTGGTTATTATACAGTGTTATAATTATGAGATTAGATTGTTTCTCATATGTTTATTTTATACTATGTATGTAAGGGTCATGAGAATAACTAGTACCAAAGAAGAATTATTATTCAAAAACTATTTAAAGTGGATCTGGTGATCAATCACAGCTATTGATTTAAGGGCTTGCAATACTACCAAACTTGATAGGTGGAGGTATGGTTCGGACATTTGACACAGTAGTTGAAAGTCTGTCAACAGTTTCTTTTGCTTAGACTAGATAAGATTTAAGAACTTTTTGATTCGATAGATTCAGGATTCTTGTTAATTTACTGTGGTAAATAGATTAAAGGACTATTATTCGGTGGAGGAAACTTAAAATGTTTGTATATTTATTTCCTTTCACGCTTCTGAGGTTAATGAATTCACGTTGATAGTGCATCTGTTGAAAATTAGAGTAGTAAAGCAGTTGATTGTTCGTTATACAATCTTATACTCATCCGTTCTAAATTTCTCATGGAGCTGGCTATTGTGGTCTGTCAACTGGCCTAGTCAAGTTAGTACCACTTAGTTTCTAAAGACTAATCTTACCCAGTAAAGTAAAGTTTATTCCGTTAGGCATATATTTATCATGGAGAATAATGCTAGTCGAATGATTATTAATCATAGGTAAAAACTACTATTGATACAAGTGCATAGTTGTATCTCGCCCTGTTTTGAAAACATTTTTATTTGCTAAACGATTAGGGTCTACACTGCGCCTCTATTCATGAAATGCTTATGTTATTTCTATAAAGTTGGAGTAGTAATTACGGAGACCACCTATTCGTCAGTTCAAAAGGTTATAAACTAATATTAAGGTGAATTGAACTTTATTTGACAAATTTGTTGATAGGAGAAATACGCATTATATTTTAAACGCAGTAATTAAGCCGAAAGATCTGTCAATAGATGGTGCTTTTTTCTCAAGGTTATGTCGTAAAACAAACTGCATCATATACATTTGAAAATAAGTGCAAAGCCAGTGTTCTGGAAGTTGAAGCTGTGGCACGATGCTATTGTGTATTTGTGGGAGACAGAGACAAACGTAAAATCTTGTACCGCAGTGTGCACCAATTCGAGTACATTTGTGGAAGCAAATACATGTGTCGTACGGAAAGGCGTTGCTAGAATCGAGTACACAAAAGCAAAACTTAAATGAATCATCTAGTCTGGTGCTGTCAAGTTGTTTGTTGTCATCGGTAGATGGACAAGTAGGGATTTACACTCTCAGAGGCTTCCGGAATCAGAGTCTGGAAATCATATATTTAGGTACAGAAACTAAATGTTGGTTACATTGAATCTATTTCGGTAGTATCTCAACTTGCTTATCATTCTTGTTATCCTGGCTAAACTGTTTTATCAGTATTAGTGTCAAGTCTTTCTCTGCTCCTAACTTGTTTCATCACCATTCTTCTTCTTGCCGCCATTGTTATCATCAGTCTTACGATTATATTATTTATAAATTTTTTCCGATAACTAGTTGTTTATTGTCATAGTGATGTTACCTTTCCACCTCTTTCCCTGTTTGAAGATGACCCTTATTTCTCACCGCCTTTATGGTCCTGTAATTGATTCATCGCAATTCACCATGTGTCTATGTTTCATGGAAGATACATGACAAGGTATATAAAGTCTTCATTTGAAAAGTCTTACTGAAATAATTGGTTTCCTCAGGGAATATACTTTTCCTGCTTTGCTCCAGCTCAGCATATAAGTACGTACATATCCCGGTCATCTTATTTAGTGGAAGTCAATGAACCGTCTCACTGTTGTTTTTCCCTACGCCTGGCCTTTATATTTACGGTTTCGGGAAACTACCGAGTATGTTGCAATATGTGGGTGCAATAAAGCTGTTACAACAAGCAGGGGGAATCCAGGCTAAATGTAAAGTAACTGCTGAGCGATGGGAACTACACTGTCCCTTTCGACCAGGTGGGCAACGTGGTCACTGAAACAAACGATGTAACAGCTCTCTGTACTGCAGTTCGATATTGGATTAAGTCAGTCGACTAGCAATACATATGATTCTGCAGAAATCGTGTGTTTGAGTGTGAAAACTCTTCATTTCTACTGGTCGAGTATTATCTCAAAAAAATTAGAAAGTATTTTAGGCAACTTTTTGTATGACTTTTGGAAACCGGGTGTTGACTACATTATTAAAGCAATATTTTTGTTGTTTAATTAGACTGATGTGTTGTGCAGTGGTGAATTCTAGACAGAACTTCGAGAATTACCATCTGTGTTTGAGTTACCAAGCTTTAGACAAGGTATTAGAGTGTGTATTCCAACGGAGCAAGCGAAAGATAATTATTTGTACATAGTAATAATAATAATAATCAAATGGTATCTTGGAAGCTGATTGTGCAGCAATACAGGTCGAGTAGTGGGCCCTATCAGGATACCTGACTAATAGGTAGGTAGTCAGTATTTATACAATTCGAATACTGATTGAACTATCAAGTTGGTCAGCAGTTGTAAATGACAGTGTTCACAGCTTTTTATTGTTAGATGAGCGTTTCTGAGGTTTGGTG